CTACTTTCGATTCTGGGACTCTTGAGGTATTTTTTTGGGGGGTGCTTTTATTTATTTTTGGATGTAAGGCTTGAAGTCCTAAAGTCCGGAACCTCTTTTGTGTTGGACCGCACCCTCTTTGAAAAGGACAGCCAGGCTGTGATTAGTTTCTCTCAAAATATGATTCTTTCGCAAAATAAAAATATATGTAATTTCCAGGTTTCCTGCAAATTTCCAAATTTCAAGATTTCCGAGTTAAGATAATATGAGTAAAGCAAGACTTTTGCATATTTGCATATTTCTGGATTTCCGCATTTCCACATTTCAACATTCCACACTACCACAATTCTACTTTTCAACATTTCCACACTTCTACATTTCCACACTTCCACAATTCTACACTTTCACATTTCCAGAGAACCAAGTTAAGATGTATGCGAGCATGCTAAATGACAAATCACACATTTTTATCTTTCAAGATTATTCTAAGGTGATTAATTTTATGTGCAGCACATTCCATTGTGATGACGTGTTCTGTGCTTATTTTAATTATTTTAATTTTGTTTCTGGATAATGTAAACTGTATTACTATGCGTACCTGTAACTATGACGATTCATCGCTAGTTTTTATAATGAAAGTGGCGAAAAAGTGATGAGACGTGTCAGAAAGAGGTTTTTTTCCTGAAGCATCAGTTATTTTCGTAAAAAAGGTTGTGGTTATTCATCGTGGTGAATAACAATAAAAGCTAAGTTTTTTCGTTTGTCTCACCATGTAGTCACGTGCGATGTAGATCGCGACGTTTTGACTGCATACTGCCAGCCTTCTTCAGGCGATGAGGTCGGGTGGTCATGCGTAATCTTATAAAGCATGATGCTCTGCTGTGATTAGTTGTTTTTCAACAGCTCTGATTGGTTCATTTCGAACCTTGCTGTTTCACTCAGTGATTTGCTCCCTCGGCGATCCGCTGTCGCACGACTCTCCTGTTGTTGTGTTTTTTGATCGTGGACATCAACGCTTCTGGAATTTCTATTCCGCTATCCCTGTTGATGTTGTTAGGGTGAAGTTTTATATGAATTGCTTCTTTGACCTTGCACGTGTACTAATAAGGGTCACGATCAACAAACTTTACTGCGCTCCAGAGTGGCTCGTGTCCGGTGTTGTGGTGTTGTGGGCATGCTCTGAAACGGCGGAGGTCTCGGTACGGGCGAGTCGAATGTCTCGATAGTGCTCCTTAATTCTGTCTTGCATAGGTCTTCCAGTCTCTCCGATGTACACCTTGCCGCATTCACATGGAATCCTGTAAACTACGCCATCTTGTTTAGCCGGGTCGACAGCGTCTTTTGGTCGTACTAACTGAGATCTTAGCGTAGTCTCCGACTTGAAAACAACGCATACGCCTTGGCGAAGCTGTTCGGACAGACCTTTGACATAAGGCAAAACTGCAGTAGCTTTGAACGCGTTGGCGGGTTCGGCGCTGTTGCTTGGTTTTCCGGTCACAACACCGGACACAAGCCACTCTGGAACGAAGTAGAGACCCTTATTACTAAACGCGCAAACTTAGCTTTTATTAGCAACTGTTATGTTACTGATAGGTTGGCATGTAACTGTGGATAGAGGGTGGACAAATAGCCGTACGGAGTAGGTTCACAACCAAGAATAGCAAAGATATATTAGAAATATCCGCCGAAGACTTGTTTACAAGGATAGTTCCTGTTGCTTACTTGTGGGAATAAGAGGCCGTACTGATATTCGAAAATTATTTGCATGAACATATGCAAAGTGATAGAGACAGTCATGATCAGCGTAAGAATTTATTTTTTAAAATCATTTTTATGTGAAGAGAAATGGCATTCAAAAGGCCTAAGAAGGACCATTCTCCATGTGGTACACCTAAATTTTTAGATGGATCAGTAAGCAGAAATCCCCATCAGCTCTGCTTGAAAAAAGTGTCTTGACGTTTGCACAACTATCCAACTTGAGAGTTTTGTGAGAAAAAATTTCGAAGATATGAGTTTGGTGGTGCAAGCTTTTTCTCGCCCCCCCCCCTTTCGCTTCCTACAAACGACTGCAAGGTGACGCGACCTTGAAAGGTCATAGCCTAAAAACTTTATTACGGTCCCACTGATTTTGCGAAGCTCATTCCAGCAGTATCGATGGACTTCCGCGACGATGTAAGGGAAATGTGGATCCATCCGCCATACTGGCAGTAGAAGATGGCGAACAAGAGATTGCTCACCCTAAGAGAAAGGCAGTTCCACAGCGGCGTGTAGGTGAGAACGAAAAAATAAAGAAGAGACTGGTCGGTGGCGCTAAGCGAAAGGATGGCGGAAAGAAACATTTAGGGCCTTTGAACTTAAGAAGGTGTTCAGAAGTTGACAAAGTTAATAATAATATGCATGTGACAAAGGCGAAGACGAGTGAAGTTTACGTTAAAGAATAAATCACTGGATTTTCAAATCTGAAAGTATATCAGTAGGTCAATGAAAAATTGGAAAACAACCATATTTTCAGGATCTGAAATAAGTAAAAAGAACCTGCGTAACCCCTAGACCCTGATTGTAAATTGCAGTGAAACTCGTCAAAGATTGTGAGACTATTGGACCATATCACGTAAGCATTGTGTATAACTGTAGCAGCAACCGAAGTTGCTCCACCCACATGTGTGCCAACGAGTGAAGCGCGAATTGATAATCGAAAATCACTGATTTTACACCCTCCATATAGCCATATCTGTTACCGAGTACCGAAATCTACTGTATCAGTTTAGCAAACCAAAATAAAGACAGTTGATATTTATCTAAATAGCTTTCCTTTCTGATGGCCCGGAAGATAAGATGAGATAAATTTTAACGTTAAAAACACGGGAAGTGGTCTCAAGGTCTATCCCAATTGTACTCGCAAACTGGTGGAAAGATCAAAAGTTGCTATCAAATTGCCAACTTAATTTCAAAAGTTCCCCCTAAATTTCCTAAAATTGTTTAATAAATATTAATTAAAAGCTATATTTTTCGTTTTTGCAATGATAAAATTCACTTTTAATAGTTTCTTGCAAACAAAGGCGGCTTCAAACCATCCATTTCCGTTCATAAAAAGTAAATCAACAAAGAGGGCCATTCTGCCTGTCGTCTTTGCCGTTCGTAAGCTTGCGAGCTAACCGAGTTTGAAATACTTCAAAACTCGGACTGTCCATTTCGTTTTCTCTCTTTCTGGCAGTTGATAAAATTAAAGTTATTTAAATGTCTGCGAAAAGATGACACGTTAGGTGTGTGTTTTCAATATTTCTCTGGCGAAATGAAGTGAAGCGTAATTCGTAGATCTCTAACAATAACTAATAGCTTTTGAAAACAATAACTTAGTTCTCGACTGATTCTTGCAGTTCTGTGTCAGGTTGTTCAAAGCTGGGTTAAGATAAGCCGAAGCTTGCGTAAAATCTGATTTCAGATTTGAAAGCTTTGAAAGACAATTCAGTACCATCCTTTTTGTCTACAATTTAATCATTGGATACCCTAAAAATAATTAAAAATTAGTTTTAAAATTAGCGCTAAGGTTAACTTTGAGATTTATGTTGAAAAATTTCGAAGTTGTAAGCTTGCAAGGTATCAAATTTTTACAGACGTTCTCCCCACGCTTACTTAATTTACAGACGACTGGATGACGTCGGGACTTTGAATAGTCATTCCTTCGTTATTTCCAATATAGAGCTTTGACACTTAACTTCTGTCTCGCTGCTGTTGCAGAGCTCTTTCAAGTATTGATAGATTTTAGCAACAGCGTAAGAGAAAAATTGGAAGAATAGAAGGGGAAATGAACCGATTGATCCCCTTGATTAGAAGCAAAGAAAAGTAAACCATAGATTTATCACTCCAGAGAAAACGCACTTCTACAGAATTGTGGCGCTGATATAAAAAAGTTTGATGGCCTTCGCATTAAGTGAGGTATTCAGAAGGTGATGGGGTTCTTCATAGATATGGTTGTGACAAAGACGAAGAAGACCGCCGTTTACGTGATGGAAAATCACTGGATTACCGACTTTTAATTCAGTTTATTAAACCACCTTAAAAGCAATAAGAAAACTGGCTGCTATTTTGAGGGGCGAAGCGCAACTTGATCCTCACCGATCGTTGCTTTTTGCCGTGGTAAATTCTTTCCTTCCTACCAAAAGTTTTGTTCGTTGTCGAATACCGTACTCTACCGTATCAGATTGAATTATAGACGCCCCGTTATGGCTTAAACACGAAGGCGTGCTATAAAAGGAGAGGTGCCTTAGGTACCTCTGGATCATTTGTCAATCAACCGTCGTGGCATACAGAACTCCAAAACAGCTTGAGCTGCCGCCAATGCAAGGCGCTGACCAGAGGCGCATTTCTCGGTAAATTTCTACGTTTTCATCACAATGGCAGAATTTGTTGAGGTTTGTATTACCTTCCTCCGATCGAAACCGTCTTCATTTGTGGTGGTAAATTTGAAATTCGAAATGATTCGCTTCGCCATCGCCTGAAAATTTCCATGGCGTAATTTCATGTCTGTTTCTAAATACGGGATGTAAATGACTGTAAGAATAAAAAGAAAAGATGAAGAAATGTTCAAGGCAAAGTGCCAAAGTAATTTTGCAGAATTAACAACATAAGTTTGTTACCCAATCAAGAATGGCTAACTCCATGCGCATGTTGTATGAGTCATCCCCATAATGAATCCGCTTTGCAGCATAAATGAGCATCACTGAATGGAGAGACTCAATCCAATATGTTTCCCTGCACTAAAGAAGGCAACAAATTGTGGGTGATTTTTCTTTAACTGGAAAATGAATTTGTTCAACTCATTTATGGCCCTTACCTCAACATCACTAATTTGGAAGAAGAGATAAACTTCTTCATGCAAAGAAACATAAACATACAGCATGTGTCAATTATTTACCCGCATCTAGTCCGATACATGCCTATAAATTGAAGTGCCCATGATGGCTTTCCTGTATGCAGTTACTGCTTCAGGTTTAGTTAAAAGTTTTTTGCTCATCACATAGTCATTCTGCTTGCACCGTGACTCCGCATGGCACCTGACATGATTTCCCTGAGTAATAAATACACCAAGTTATAGAAAAATAGACTAATAAATCATTAGTAATAATTATAGTAAGTATAATGTCTCTTGTTCACCATTATTAAAGAAATGTGTGCAGTCTTTGAGGCAATGATCATGTCATATCTTACTAGAATAACACAACAAAAGGTACTTGCAAAAATGAAAACAAAATACGATGCTCTCAATAAACAGTCATTCAAATTACCTGGTAATGGTCAACTAAATTTAATAATGTACCCTGAAATTCTTCTTCATTGGGTGGACTGTTCTTCATGCAGAAGTATACATGAGTCCTTGTACTTTTCACCGTAAAATATTCACAATTGTTTTATTCCATTGTGTTCATCTCATATCAAGAAGGAATTTGACATCTGCAAATAATTGTGGAGAGAATATAGCTTTCAATGACTCTCATAAGAGAGATATCTTACCTTTGTCGGACAGTTCAAAAAACCACTTTGAGCCCTCATCCCTCTGTGGTCTTAAGGCAACTTTCTTCATTGCTTTAGTCACAGACTTTGCACCTGAAAATAAACAAAAAATATTAATTCCAATAAAAGGCTAACTTTCAAGAAATAGTCATAATCATCAAGAAAAAATGAGCCAAAAAATAAAAGTGTATACTGAGTACCATGCCAAGAGTCAAAGGAATTAAGCACTCCTTTTGACAAGATCCATGTTTTTAGCTGTAATACAAAGTCATGTGCCGCCTCTGCAACATGGAACCCTGAAAAAAGAATTACTTTAGTTGCATTATAAAAGATACTTCTGATCTCCATATTTGTATTACATATGTGATATGATACTATCGAGGATGCAAACTTATCATAACTTGTGTCTCACAGAGATAAGTCAACAGCTCTTTTGTCATAGGGACCTCACGGCTTACTGCTGAAGTTTCATTGGCCCTACTCCAGTGGACAACTGCTAACACCTTTTTGGTCCTTAAGATAATCAGTGCAAATGAAATGATTTTAGGCATGGTGTTGAACATAATAGAGGTTCAACATATCATACAAAGAAATTGAGTAGAAAGATCTTATGAGAAAGAAAGGGCTGACACTGTTGTGTGTGCTGCTGATCGACTGGAATCATGCCTTGCATCTGTTATAACACACTGCAGGAAGAAATGGTAGAAATCAAAACATAAAAATGGTCACATTTCTCTACTCACAGATATTTTCAAGGTTTACAATCTGATATGAGATTTTAAATCTTTGTATGTGCCTGCAGTCTACATAATATACTCCGAGTATGGCAGGTGAATGAGTATGTGGCCAAAGACAAAATGAAATTAAAATGACAACTTGTACCTCTCCATTCACAGGATATGCAGGGTTACTCTTTACTTGTTCTTGAGCAGCCAACATCGACCCATTGGAGACCCTCTTCACGACTGTCAAGTAACCAAGCTTTTTCAAGACTGTTGAAGTGATTAAAAATATAAGTGTTTCAGAATTGCATCTGGTAGCTGGGCAGAAACCAAAGAAGGAACAGTTCAGTCAGTTCGAGCTATGTGGGTAGAACATTCAAGATTTAACAACCTGTAAACTGCTGTTGACTGCCTTCTCCTTACAAGGAGAAAGACTACATGATTTTCAGAGCATCTGAGAATGTGCATTGCTAACCTGTGTCAAAGGTCTTTTCTCCCTCTGACCCGATGTTGGCTGCTTGGCAAAAAAATTGTGTATTGTGTCTCTGTCAAGCCACAGGACAATACGCCATGAATCAATCTATGAAAAAGAGAGACAGATGAGTGACCAGTTACAAAAAAAAAAACTCTAAAATACCGAGATAATAAATTTCAGTAAATTTTGAGCAAAAAATAAAAGAGTGCTCACCTCAAATTTACATCGTACTTTGGAGGAGATCCTCCCATGATAGGGGAGGAGAGCCACTTGAAAGAATCTCCACTAACACATGAAATTGTCACTGACACGACATGACTCTGTCGATTGAAGACAAGTGACTCGCAATCGAGGGGTTTTCCACGATAACAACATGATGTCGATAGCGTATTACAGGAAAAAGAAAACAGAGTTCGCAGAGATTCTTCACTGCAGAGATATATAGAGTCGTTCTCTGCTGAAGATGCAGTGATTTGCATTCTTTGTGGCGTACGTTCTGCTTGTGGAAGAGAAATTGGAGAAAAAGGATCAGTAATAGGCAAAGAAATACGCGAAGATGGAGTGGAAGAAGCTGTAGGAATTGAAAACCGTGCAGTTATGGATGGTGTAGAGAGAAGAGAGGGGTTCGGACTTCCCGTTGATGATAAGCTCAGATCGCTAGATGTCAGTCGTTTCCTCTCAATTTTCTCCTCAAAAGCTAACAGAAGAGCTTCCCTTAAATCTGCATTCTGAGTGCTTGTGGTCACTTTTGTAAGATTCAACGAGCCTTTGGCCATCTTTATGCGGTCTTTGATCCCGAGAAGTCTGCTATCCTGAGTTAGAGGAACTTCTATGTTGAACGAGAACTGAGGACCTCGATCCGTTGGACGCTTTTTCTTGGGTACAGGTGGGTTATTTCCCTCAGCTATAACGAATAAATTTCCCAATAAAAATATCTTTCGAGCAGCGACAGCAAGGCTATTCCCCAAACTAAACTAGAGTTGTGACTTTCTGTCTCAAAATCGCACTTACTTGCGAAATCATCCATACTTTAGTTGTTTTGTCACAGAATATTGTCACAAATAATAATTGTCTGAGCATTGCGCATAGAATGTTTCATGAATCCGCTAGTTTCAATGGGAATAATCTGAAGGCTCGGAGAACCAATGTGTATTAGGGGCTTGGGACATAAGCCGAAGTTACACGGCGCGAATTTTGAAAAGACAACTGTGGGAGTGTCTCGTCGACCGCAGATCGCGCTTTGAGCAGCCGAACGATAACTTAATGCCAATTAATATCATCAAAGTGCTCTGTGAGCAAACTCGTGAATTGACACATGAGTTTTTGGAGTATGTTTAATGTTATCTGGTTTAGGGAATTTTGTGGTTGATTGTCATATCTAGAGTACGAGCAGTAGTTCAGTGTTCACAGCAAAGAAACAAAGTAACGTTGGGATAAGAAGGCATTACAATTGAACTGATCATGCTATTACATTTGACAAGGGTGGATGATGTCATGTGTTTTAAACGTATATCATTTTTGTTTCTGGTTCAAATAGTCAAGGAGCCAGACCCAACAAAAACTGGTTTCGTTCAACCCACCTGACAGAAAAGGTTCGACAGCTGATTCTGATAGACCAATACCTACTCTTTAAGATAAGATACTATGTAGTCCCGAATTGTGGTACCGCTAACGAGATAAATGGGGCTTTATACCATGATATGACACTCAGCATGGAAACGAGGCTGAAACAGAAATTGACTTCAAATTTCATCTTCTTCCACTGAAGTGCCCCAAACCCTTCTGAAAAAATGATTATCATGTACCTGCCTACAATTTAAGTGTTCACATGGTACGACAGCGTGTCACGTGATTGTCACATGACCACTTTTTCGTCAAAAAGCAGTCTCCTTTGTCGATCCTGACATGTTTCAAATCCTACTGAGACTAGGGTAAAGGTCTTATCCAGGCTTTTAATCTCATGTGGCAACAGAGAAATCATGTACTTTCGAATTATGCTTAAAAAAAAAAACATTTGGATGCGTAGAACTCCAGAAAATAGACAATATTAGTGCTGATGTCTCTTCCATCACTGTTTACATGGAAACGAGGCTGGAATAAACGCAACCTCAAAACGGGTCAAATCTTTGTAATAAAGAGAGATGCTGTGAAAGTGTTAAAAGTTTGAAATCAACATCCACGGTGGATCCAGGCCAGTACCGAAGCAATGGTCAAAACTCATCTCAAACCCAAAGAACAAACAAAACTTAGCTGCCTTTCTCTGTGAGTCGTTAAGAAAGAACATACCAGCACGTTTAGGCCCTCTGCAGAGGGTTGTCCAAGGTGGAGGATTCAAGGATGGATTAAAAGTAGTGTGACTAACTCTTTGTTCCGCGAGCTTGATTCACCTCTTTTGCTGCGTTCCCCTGCCTTAATTGAGACAGGCCTATACTGGTTGAAAATCAGGTCCACCCTGGTGTAGCTGTTCTGATGAAATTTACTGGTGACAATGTCTTGGTATTTCTGTGATAACTGGCCAGATGTTGCAGACCTTCTCTCTCATCTCTACTCACCGTTGTGGCTTTGGCCTCCCTGTGTCCCAATGCGGTCGTAGTTTACTACACCACACATCTCCTTTGGTGCATGTGTCATAGCTGCTCGCTCGTGAATGGTTAAGAAGCATCGGTCTACAGCATCTTCTTTTCTACTCATACCATCTGTGCCCCCCTTTTTCTTGGTTTCAAGGTCAATTGATTGTTCCAGGGCCATATCCGGCCAAACTTGCGCAAACGGTTGGTTAGAGCGGCTAACACTGTGGTTTTCAGCAATGAACTCTTGGCATGACGGATCTAACAACATGCTGGTGCACAACTTCAGAATGCAAGCGTAGTTGCCCCTTTAAGAAAAGTAACTTCCCTTGTGCGAAGGCCTGTTTATGTATGGCAGATGAAAGATGTTGCAATCCTCTGAATAAAGAGCTGCTCTCTGGCAATGATTCTAGTGCCTCAAACACTGAGTGACTATTGTTGTTGATGTCAGTCTGCAAATTGCACGTACTTATCAGATCATTACCTCTAGGCACAGATACATTCCCCCCAGAGTTTGACTGTTAGCAGTATCATTTCCGATACAGATCCGAACAACGAACTAATAAATTAAGGTTTTGATCGATGTTTTACAGTCTCGATTCAACAACTCTTTAGTATGCGACACAGATTGGTAAAGATAGCAAATTTCTTAAGGGGTAATTTTCAAGACCAAAGCATTTGTAACAGATTAATATCAGTGGCTGTAGTTAACACGTAACGAAACTAGAACATGTTGCAAACTTGCATCTTTTGAAGTACAAAATAACACCACTAAAAGATACCTACTGCTTTCACATTGTGAAGAGCTGTTGCCAGTACCTTTCACTCTCGGTCGTTTCCCTTTGAATTTCAAAGAAGCTTCCAAACCTATCGTTCCACATGAGGTATTTAGCTCAATAATCAGAATCCACTTTCTGTACAGCAGAATACCAGTAAATTCCGCGTTTTTTAATTTTTGTCATAAATCAACAGAAATAAACATAAAGTTTTGACATTTTGGCAGATTTGCATAGAAACAATTTTTGTATGCTATCATAGAAATTTCGGCAATCATATGCTTTTAACACTTTCACAGCATCCCTCTTTATTTCAAAGATTTGACCTGTTTTGAGGTTGCGTTTATTCCAGCCTCGTTTCCATGTAAACAGTGATGGAAGAGACATCAGCACTAATATTGTCTATTTTCTGGAGTTCTACGCATCCAAATGTTTTTTTTAAGCATAATTCGAAAGTACATGATTTCTCTGTTGCCACATAAGATGAAAAGCCTTGATAAGACCTTTACCCTAGTCTCAGCAGGATTTGAAACATGTCAGGATCGACAAAGGAGACTGCTTTTTGACGAAAAAGTGGTCATGTGACAATCACGTGACATGCTGTCGTACCATGTGAACACTTAAATTGTAGGCAGGTGCATGATAATCATTTTTTCAGAAGGGTTTGGGGCACTTCAGTGGAAGAAGATGAAATTTGAGGTCAATTTCTGTTTGAGCCTCGTTTCCATGCTGAGTGCCATATCATGGTATAAAGCCCCATTTATCTCGTTAGCGGTACCACAATTCGGGACTACATAGTATCTTATCTTAAGGAGCAGTTATTGGTCTATCAGAATCAACTGTCAAACCTTTTCTGTCGGGTGGGTTGAACCAACTCGTTAAATGAGGCTTTTTCAGAAAATAGCTCCTTGACTAAAAAGAAAAGGTTGGAATTAAAGGTGGGTGAAAAGTGAAATTTACTGTCTATCATTGTAAATATTGGAAAATCAAGGCAATACTGTCTTAATGAAAACATTAACGATTCCCTCTTTATCAAATGAGACAAACGGGAACGAGTTTTGAGTGATATAACTAAGCCAAGACTGCCACCGTCATTTTGGATCTCCGCCTGAGTAGATTTTAGTCACGTGCTAGGCAACGTATAATCAATAACAAGATAGAATTTCATTTCAGGCCTATTTATCAATTTTGTGGTGTATAACTTTCGAATTTTAGTACGTAATATGTATTTTGAATCTTCAAATTGTCTTGAAATTTAAAAGAAAATTGTTCTTTTAAAATTCACTGAAAATCGGTAGCTAAAATTGTTTGTTTAGGTGTTATTTGATTTTCGTGTTAACTTGTAATTTCGTCAGTCGCCGGCATCTTTTGTTTCGCAGTAAGTGATATTTTCAATGAATCTTGGGATTTTTTTCAAGTTCAAGGGCTGTAAATTACAATTTTATGAAAAACGAAGGTTGTTCTGTTATTTCAGTGTGAATCCTTGCATGCCTGCAAGTCGCTGGCGCCGCTTGTTGAAACTAAAACGAAAAAAAAAAACTCTTTTAAGATTATCATTGGCTTCTTTTTCACCCCACCACTATTCTTAGCAACAAAGGTCGTCATTTCGTTTGTTTGTTGCTCGCCAAAAACTATCAAATGCACTCAAAAGCCTAAAATCGAAAAAAAGTTTACAGGAATCGACCAATCGAGCGAGCGAGCGAGCGAGTGCCATTCCCCACATCGTATCTATAACTCGCTCTTACGCATGCGCGCAATTTCACGAGTTAAAAATGAGCTCAATTATAGGAATTAGAGTCAACAGGACGCAATGTCTTCTAATTTATTGACACAAAAAAACATTTAAAGTGTGTCTCTTATGCAGACCGTTTCACTCATGGTGGGACCGTTGGTTGCCATATTGGATGAGTTTTGCATTTGAGCTAAAACATAGGGAGGAGCCAACCTATTTATAGCGCGCCTTCGTGTTTAAGTCGTCTTGGATTATGTAAATATCGAATCAATTAGCATAGCCACCAAGCGTAACCATGAAAACCACAAGAGAAGTCGATCCAACTATGTTGACGAGCAAAACGCGACTTTACTTCCATGATCACTGAATTTCCCTCAAGTAGTCTCGTTCCACTCTGCTTACAGCCATGTCTGTTGTCGAATACCGATTTATCCTGTATCAGTTTGGCGAGGAAATCGATTGGCAAACTCAACGAAGAAAGTTGATATTTATTCTTCGAGCTTTCCTGCCTGATTGCTCCGAAGAAGGTATCACTGACATTGATTCGTTACTCTCTATGCTGGAGGAGAAGAATATTCTTGGAATTGATCGCCTTAATGTGATGAAGGACTTGCTAAAGGGGATAAGAAAGTGGGACCTTCTTCGCAGAGTAGAGCGATTTGAAATGAAGAGAAAGGACTACAAACAGTTACTGGAGCAGATAAGTCGCGCACTCGACGAGTCCAATGAACTGCAACGACTCATTTCGATCTGTAGAGGAAAAAATCTGATAGCTCTTGAAAGAGAAGAAGATATCGCAGATGTCAATGCAATGTTCACAATACTAGAACAACAGAACAAATTGGGGATAGAAGACCTCACTCTCCTGAAAACCTTAGCAAACGAGATGGAGAAACCAGATTTGTGCAGACTACTAGAGGAGTTTGAGAAGAAGAGAAAACAGGAAGAAGATGCGGAGCGGGAAAGGGAAGAGAGGGAGGACAATATACGAAAAGCAAGAGGTAAGGAACATTTCTAACTGAGAAAATTTTTCTGAGAAAATATCGAGAACTGTAAAATCAGAAACTAAGCTTGCGAAAATGCGATTTCGGACTATGTTGCTAATACGAATGGGTAGTCACTTTCACTTGCCTGTGTGGAAACCTTAAACCCTCGACCTTAAATGATCACTGTACCAGTTGCCTTGGTATTGCTTCCCTGCTCCATTTTCCTACAAGGTTTTAGCTTGGCTTTAAGCTCACTGAGTGCAAAAATGTGCGAAATATTGCTATGTACTTCACTGTGATTTTATTGATGAGAGTACACCTGTTATTTTGCACTTTCTTGGAGGCATCGATAAAGTGCTGGCAAGACATGTTGAGCGAACAATATGGCGGGCGGATAAACACTAATTTCGGTTCCAGGGCCTCCTCTGTGTTCTTTTCAAAAACATCGAGGCGGTGGCAAGAGTTAAAGAAGAAGTTTGCTCCAGACAGTACGTAATGTTTACATCCTCCGTGCAATTTGCTAGTTACCGTGGGATGAGACTGCAACGAATAAATAAGTACTTGAAATTTTTCTTCAGTTACGTTGAAAGCTCAAACCCCTTAACAAACTGGTCATCCACGACACAACGTGCGCTTTATTAACAGCTACTGTAAAGTTATAGCATAAGAATTGAGTCTAAAAAGACCTTTCTGTAGCTTTCGTTTCCTGATACAGATCTCCAAGAGATGCAAGGAGTGAGGTTTTACCCCACTGCTGGTCAGTTAACCATTTACACCCTTAAATCAGCTTATATATTCTCCATTCTGTTTTTTATACATTTGCTATGGCACTGGCAAGGGGAATTAAGTTTAAAACCAAGAGCTTATCGAGTTTACGATTAATTTCTTGAGTTGTGGGCAAAATGTTTGATTCAGTGGTGTCACCTTAGTTGGAAATTAGATACAAGTTACCCTCAGGGGTTAAAGAGTTAATATACCAGTTATAAAATGGCCCTGCTAACCGTAAATTTAAGCCAGATACATGAAAAGTCTGCGAAGAGAAGTATTTCACACAGATCAATGCTCAATATTTTCCTGATTAAACTATTGTATATTTATTAATCCAAAGATTGATTTATTTCACATTCCAGCTCAGGCCACTTCTGTTCTTTCTGGTGGAATAAACATTGGCGAAAGATTAATAGGAGGTAAGACAGTGTTAATTAATCTTGCTGAGAAGTAGAGCCAAATTATGTGGAACCTAAAACCCTAAACAGTAAAGCCCGCAAACACAATGCTTTTAAGAGGCTCACGCTACTAGAGTCTTTAAGTGGTGATTACATACTCAAAACTAATATTGTCACCCTTACCAGAAAGCAACGAAGAGAACCAATATATAAATTTGCTCCATATCCACTAAATAAACATGAAAATTGCTGAGTCTGGACTATATTTGTCAATGTGTTATAATCGAAAAAGAACACCATATGTTTTTTGTCCATCCACGTCTCTTTATTGATAAGTTTCCTTGTCGTCTCTCTCAGTAAGGTATAACTTTCTAAAATAGCAATCCACTCAAATGTAATCTTAGCTAGACTCTCAGTTGCTGGAGATAAGCAAAGAATCGGGAAAGCGAATTACGCGAGGAGTCTGTGAAGGAGTGCTCTCCTCAGCCAACTCTCCCCCAACGTTTGTTACTTTGCCTAGCCCCGCTTTTTCGGTCGACTCCACAAATGGCTAATGTAAACCCTTTGATTTCTACACTTTTTGAAGTTGTCACGCCTCACTGTACTTTTCGCAATGCTGCTGGTAGTGCTGTGGTCGTCACTACATGGATGGTACTTCGCAGGAGTCCAAGTATGGAAGAATTTGTCAATGCTTTCAAAGAAGCTGTTCTTCCACTTGGAAACTGCTTGCGTGCAATTAGTGAAGGATCGATCCGATTTACGCTTCAAGCAGAAAATATTTCCGCTCTCGAGGCACTGTGGCAAAGATACCAGAACGAAACTCTACAGACAGAAATGCAGAAGTTTCTTGTTACTGAGGAAATAAAGCAGCTGGCAGGTGGTGAGGTGACGTTGACTGTACACATCGACGAGGAAGAATACAGAAATGCCATGTGTGATTTTATAAGATCAGGAACAGAAGGTATATGGACTTAAAAAGTTTTACAATTATCATTTCTCACGTTAGATAAATCAGAGAGTTAATTCGCATGTTGTATTTAATGGAGAAAGTTGTTCCAGAAACCATGTTTTTTTTAATTGTTTTTTAGGGACTTTCGAAAATAAAACTCTTAATAAGGTTCTGAGATTTCACAGAGCAATCAATTGCAATCTGAAGTCAATTTGAAGCACCGAGCTCAGTGTAGAGTGCGCTGAAATGAAAAACATATTACATAGCACCATCGTTTTCTCAATGGGTTAACGCATTCATGGGCGTTGTTTCCTTAAAACACACTTTTAGAGAGAAGAGGCGGAGAACAGAGAGGATTAAAGGATCGAGCAAGTTCTGAATCAGACCTCTCGAGAATGCAAGGACTGGTTTCAGAGGATGGAAAGGATTTTGCTCAGGTTAGGAAGTTTATGTCATTTGCGGAAAAAATCCGAGTCGAAGAATTCTTGGAAAATCGTCAAGAGACTAACAGCACAATTACGCGCACGTCTGATAGTGGAGTAGGTACTTGGAGTCCTGCTCCCACTGAATGCCGATCCGAAGAAGGCGCTGAAGGTAATATTAGATCTCGTATGCATGGGTATATATCAGAAATTGTGTAAAAGGTTTTTCTTTTTTGTTTTCACGTTTAAAAGCTGGTGTCGCTGATACGGCTGGTACGTGAGACACTAGATATATACACATCGAAAGAGGTGCTTCCCCTCTAGGAATATGTTCCTGCTTGTTGATTTGGTTGATTGGCCATTTTACAAACGTTCCTTTGCATGAGACTTCCCTCAATTCCGCAATTCACTCGACAACACTCACTCAACCTCGAGAGATATATCATCGGGGGACATATCCTCGCAACGCTCATTTACAAGTTATTTCCTTGCAAGTGTAACATTTTTACACGACTTTTGACGTCCATCACTCTTCACCTATGATTTAGGAGAATTTTAATTCCAGCGAGGCTTATTTGACGTTATGATATATTTCTTATCAAGGAATGGATTCTTAACATGAATTAAGGTTTCTAAAGTACGTACGGTAGGAGACTTCCGTCTTTTTCTTCCGTCTTGAAGGTACGAGAGAGCTATTCTTTTACCAACGAGCATGTTGACGGCTGTCTCTGATGTGAACTTCGGTCTCGATTTATAAAAGTTACCCATTGAACATTACTTTCGAGGGGGCCAGCTGACAGGAATTCTTGCATTCGTTTTCCAGATATGTTATAGAACCTCTTGGCCATGGGAAAAACTTCGGTCTTTGTAAATACACGTTATTTAGGGAGAAATATCTTATTCACTTGAGTAGAAACCGCCCTAGAATAAATACCGCTTCTAATCAGAAAATGTAACGTTTTTTCGATGATTATTTGAAAAATATCTTTAGGGAAGTAATTCTCCTTAAAGTTTTTAAAACTCCTGTAAAACGTTTTCATGTTGTGAATGACAAGTTGATTCGATCGAAAGAAGCTTGCAAAAATTGGCGCAAACTTCTTTTTACAATACAAATTTAGGAAAATCTCCAATATCGACAGGTTTAGAGTCGGTGTTGACGCTTTGATATGCATTCCTCCTTACATTGTTTGCGTAACTCACTACTTTATCAGTCTGGCCTGAGTGCCAAGTAATATAATTCCCTCTTTGTCTGACTCAAATAAATACACCCACACTCACCTAAATCAAGGTACATGTTATGTCAAAGAAATCGCTTAATTATCAGTGATCATAAGTTTAACCATAATAACCAGGTAATTAAGCATAATCGGCATTGAATGAACTGATAAAGGTGTTAGCGTTGAGGAGTGAGTTTAAGACTTAGGACCAATAAATCCCGCCAAGCAAATATAATCTCCCCTTAGAGTGTTCCTCGGGACCCCTTGTCATATGTTCACACACTATATTCAAACAGCATCATTAAATGGAAATATTTTTATCCGCAGGAAGCAGAAAAGAAAAGTTCGACCACGTCGAAGAATGGGTAACAGAAGCCATTGAAAATTTGGATAATGTTTTGTCAGAACTTAAAACAACAACTCAATCTGAAGGTCTTTTATGCGTTATTGACTGTTTGATTGAATAATTAAGGTGACAGGACTTCGTTTCATCGAATTCGGTCTTTAATCATAATCTTGATTACAAAATCGGACGATTGCAAGGCGAGAGTTCAATTTGTCAATCACGAATGTGATTATCGACTGAATTAAACGAAACGAAGTCCTGTCACCAATTAATCATGACGGTTACAATTTCCTAAAAAAAGAGACGTACATTTATTTCAGAAAATATTTTAAGAGACGTTGTCTTAAGTAACAAATTCCTCCGTTTTTAAAAATTACCCAGTTTTTTAGGGTAAGTGGTTGTTGCTAAGGTTATTGTAATCAATTCCGTGACTGATGGATTAACCTGAGTGGACTTCGTACGATTTGCTGCTTGTCCTGTTCAATGACTGGTGTCCGATTAAAGCCAACTTTCCGATTACACAATCTAATTCCAGCTATACGGAATAAGTAGTGAAAGACAAAGCAGTTAATGCGCCGATCACATTTGAGGAAATTTTGATGTAAATTTTAATTGCGTAAAGTTGGTATTAGAATATGTATCATGATTACAATCGGTTTGGACAAAACGAAAGACTAAACATTTAGATGAAAACTCGAACCGGTACCTTTGCGAGCTGGTACAAATTGGTGTGTACTTGGGTATTTTTAGTTGCAGTTTTGTTTTACTATCTGATAGCTGATGGACTTGATGGTTACAAAAGGGTTCGGGAACAAAGTATCGGTCTTAAATGTCAGTTTGAGCGTAGTGAAGTATGTTAAAAACCTGCAGATAAGATTTCCTTTTTAAAATGGAATTTGAACAATATTTTATCCATAGTTGTCTTGAGAGTCAGTGTCAAACAAGCAAAGCAAGAATTGGAAAAAAGCAGAGAAAAGATTCATAACTGGAACGAATCAGGATATGAGATTCCTGTCGCAGGTCAGTTCAATAGAAAAATAAATAAACACCTGCAGCATTCTCTATTGAGATAAATTTTATGGCTAGAAGTTAAATTAATCGGATCAATATCCGATCAACAACAGTCAATTGACAACGAGTTAAGGTTAATGTTGGGTTAGGGGAGGGGTAGGTGGGCAGTTGCCCAGATACTGATATTGATCCAATTAATCAATCATAAATTTGATTGGGCGATTTACTAGAACATTTCGCTGATCTGAAACTTTTTCAGAATTTGGAGACTTAGAGATTTAGATTTCCCAGCATTAGTAAGCCGTGTCCTCTTTTGGTTGTCGTTCAGTCACGCTTTTGTGCCTCCGATTGATTTAAACTTGAAAACGGCTTTAAGGTATGGCAGACACTATTGGACACCCTTATAATAAGCGCTGTCGTATTCATGACACTTCTTTCTCTGCAAATAAGACTCAAAGCAAACGATACCTCTCCTCAAAAGTACAGTGAGTTAATTTTATTTTCACTCATTCTCTTCCCTAGACAGTAAAATGGCATTAGTTTTCGGTGAGGTTGAAGAATACATCTTTTCACCGGAACTCAGTGCTGAAGGTGTTTTACAAAAAGTGAAAACCATTCTTCAGATAAATCAAGATATGTTTGAACACCCAAACGAAGATGTTAAGAAGTTGATCCGTCTCGTGGCAAAAACAGCAAAAAAATTGAACAGGATTGACGTGTTCGATCATTTAAGAGAATATGCACCACCAGGAACAACAGGTTAGTCTCAATTTGGCAAAAAGTTATTTCTTCTTTGTTCCCCATAAACTAGCAGCCTTCAAATATGATTATTTGGTTATGACAAATTGATAGTGCTCTGTAAATTAGTAGTTTTAGGGAACGTTAATCACAAAACGAGTGAGAGCACAAGGAGTCACCCACTAACTGTGATCATGGCATGCTCTTCACTAAATTTCATGCAACTTTTCGATCAAATAATAAAAGTAACTATCAATTGGACTTTTTGTATTATCCATTATAGCGAAAATCAGTTTTACTTCGTGGTACATTGCGCAACCTCATCGAGCGTATTTTAAAACGTGATTAGACGTTCACACTAAGAAATGGAAAATTTTCAATAGATACCAGGGGCTCGCAAGAAAAGTCTGTTATTTACCTGCAAACAAGTACGGTGCCCTCTTATTTTTTGTTTTAAGGTTTGAGCTGAGACTTTCCCTGTAAAATGGATAAGGCCGACTAAAAATTTAAAAAGTAAAACCATTCGCAGGGAAAGTGTTCATAGCAAGCTCTTCTGAGTATCATAATGAGGCTATCATAAAGGGATGACTTCGTATAATCAAGTTCTGCTACTCCCATAAGAGTAAAGAGAACCTAGTTTTCAAAATTTAAGGGAAAACCATGCTTCTAATTCGTAAACTTCTTTATCCGCCTATAAAAAGCACATATAAAGGTAAGCAATCTACCTCGTTATGAAAATTCAAAAAAGGGTGACAGTTTAACTGACAAGCCCTGAATTCATTTTGAGACTTCTTTTTTTATGAAATCAATTTTTAATCAATTTGTTTATTTACTCATGTACCTCGAGAGATAATTTATTACAAGGGAGCTATTCCTAAACAACACAGTCCACAAATAAAACAACATCGTCGGACCTCAAAAGCTCCCTATGGCTGAAAACAACAACCAACACTACTCCTTATGTTACTTATCATAGAACGTTCTGGTGATCTTAGGATAACTCTTAATCAAGGAAAAATTAAATCGGGAGTTCCTTAGCGTAATATCAGGAAGTTTCAGAGAAAAACTGCCGAATAAAGAGCTTAAAACTTGACCAAGAACTTCTCCGTGCTAAAGTCCCAATCACCTTGCTCCATCTTTCAGTGAATTATTTGAACAATTTAAACGTGAAGTTAAAATGAATTCTTGCATGACTCATAGACTAACTTTTCTTGCGATGGCTAAAGCAGCGGCAGTTTGTAACTGCGCTTTAAGATTCGCTTTTGCGGCCAAGTTACTGGGTTGTTTTTTTCAAAATGTCGGCGTCCTTAGCTTGATTCTACGCACATAGTTGGAATGCTTTTTGGGATCTCACAGACATTCCAACATGAAAAATGAGATGCTCGTCTACGCTCGAAATAAAAAAGGGAAGTTGAAACGCGTCGGAAGTCTTCATTATTGTTGACTGGCTAAATTCTCTAACATTCACAGTGGATTCCAGATCCCACATACGAATTTGTTGAGATTTTTCATCAGTATAGACACTCATGATCGCGCCTTGCTTTTTTAGGTCCTCGATTATCTGACGATTCGACTTTTGCCGACATCCCTCTCCAAACAGCCAGAAAACTAACAATGGCATTGTCAGGTGAATGCTGATATGTATCTAGAATCTATCTCATACATTTCTTTAAAATTTCGTTAATTTTTCCAAGTTGCGTTTCATTTCTCCGAGAAAGTGGTGACGATCAATTAAACATTCTCAGGCGAGTTTTTGCAATCTTTTCCTGTGTTAAAGGAGAGTTTGAAGAAATACTACTGTTTGGCGCTGGAAAAAGATATATAAGTATATGTTGATCTATTCAAAGAGAATTAGCTTAAGATGAAGAGATTTTAACCAGTTAATAATCTCTTGCTTAAGAAAGCAAAAAAAAAACTTGACTTATTCGCGAGTTAGATTATAAACAACGAACAAGACTTTTGAGGGTGGCTGCAATCCTGTGATCCAGACATAACCGCTTCAACCGAGGCAAGACAGCAAAAATTTCAAACAAAGTTAAGAAAGAATAGAAAATGTGTCTATCATACCCGATTTATAAGTACTTTTGGCTGAAGAATTCAAGACCGTCTTAAAGGCTGTCTGAGAAAGAACAGCTTTTTGCCTAAGGACAAGTTAAAGTCATTTTCTAAATGTTCTTTAGCCATCCAGCGTCTCTAAATTTAACCTCAAAGAATTTGTTCCATGAACTTGGGCCGTGCAACGATGAGGCGAAAGTTTTTAAGTTGATCTCACAAAATATAGCCAGGGTTTTGACCATGTATTTTATTAAAGGCATCGGGGACGTGCTTCATGAAGGCAAGACAGGAATTTGTGAGGGTTTAAGAATTTATTCTACTCTAGTTTGATTTTCTAAACTGATGTTAAAAAGTCAGTGTCCTCCCTTCTCCCTACGGAGACCTAATGCTCGCGCTATGTTCGGCGTGTCAAATGACTGTACGCAGGAAATGTTCGTTCTGACATCAACAAGTGCAGTTACCGGTAAGCCTAGCGTCCATCATACAAAAACTGTGTTTTTTATGCTCTTTTGAAACACTTTTTAGATAAAAATCGTAGGATCGTTTCGAGCCGCCATGTTTGTTTTGTTTGTCGATATTTTTAAAGCTCGCGCTATGTTCGCGTCCAGATCTCGCGCTATCAAAAACCTATGGAGACTCCTTAGATATTAATTCCTAGATTTCTCTACGGATGAAACCCCTTTATCCTAAATTCCTTGGTGCTATTCTGACAAAGCAGATGTAAAATTTGAAAGTTAAAAGACACTTTATTTTCAACCGTCACAAATAAAAACTAAGACGCGATCAAACTCAGAGCAGCTTACCCCACACGGTAGTTATATACATGAAAATTGTACTTTTAGCTACATTACAATTTTACATCTCAATTTTGCGTATCTCCATTGACACTTTATGTCTTACATTGTGTACACTTGTGAGGTTGAGCTTGTGCGTAAACAAGTATCGTGATATTTTCAGGCAAGACCAATTTCGCTTTGAAGTGTAATTACTTCAATTTTTGTTTTGTTTCCTTTTGTTTTGTTTTTCAGTGTTGGTATTCTTTTTGTTCTCCTTTATGTTTATGTTTTTTTTGTTACTTAGGTAAGGATGAGTGGACAATGATTGTTGAGCAATTGGGTTTGACCCCAAAAGAAATTCTTTTTCTTAAAAGACGTACTACAAACCCTGCTGACGCTGCTCTGGCTTACGTCAGCCAGAAGCTCATCATAAGCGTAGGATCACTCTATGACTTGTTAAATGAAAATAGGCTGCCTATGCTAGCCGATTTTCTGTAAGTTGCCTAAGCTATCGCATGAGGAAATCTCTTGTAACGAGAGGATTTGGAGTTAGTTGGTTTATTTTGCTATCGCTGATAAAAATGCAAAAGTTCACGTAGAAATGTGACGGTATTTTAATCTAACTTCAGTAAATCGTTCATTTAACACTAGCTGTTGTCATTCAGCCAGCCTTAATTATATTTTGTAACATCATGAATGTAGTTAGCGTTGGACTCTAAATGTTACCTGTCCTAGCTTAACCTTTGTTTACTTATTATCTACCTGTACTGTCGTAGATTGATTCATTTTGTTTAAGCGAAATTTATTTCTTTATCTGCAGTTCAAATTTATGTTATTTATGTAAAATCACTTTCATCCAATCTTCAATTCAAGGGTTTATTACGAGCCAACAAAGCTGCCAGTTGGCTTGTGAGCTCAGTCGTCAAATCGTTTTACTAGCATCGCAAAGGTCATGGGTTCAACTTTCGTACAAAGATTAACTTTTTATCATGTTTCCTAAGGCTTTTTTTTTTTCAGCACTACTCAAGTAGTGTTAAGAGTTTGTCCAAGAAAGGACCGGGCAGGCGTGACACATGCCATCTCACCGATTTCTTTGAAACTTTCACATTTTATTAGGGTCATGAAGTTGTTCAATAATCCAGAGTAGTTTGGGCTCTTGGCTAATCCCTGGGGTATTAGAGCCCCCACATTAAATCCCAAGGATAAAAGGCTAAAATTAGCTAAAAAAAATGCACTTTTGACAAATATCTCTCACTCTAACAGAATGCGATAGATCATAATCTTATTTTGTCCAATAGCTGCTTGAACCTTAAAGAAACGAGTCCCCAGAGTTGGAGCAATTTGATATTGTTTTCACTGATTTAGATCATTTAATGATTGACCGTGTTACACCACTATTCGAAATAAGAAAAAAAATTGGTATTTTTAATTCCAAATATCTCCAATGGGCAACTTTGTAAGTCGACAAACATATGATCACAGGAAAGACCTATCATAGCACTGTTTTGTGGGCAAAAACCAATTTTGCTTCTGAAAAATATGCTTGGTCATACCCCTCTGAGGTACTTGACTTTAATTTTCGCAATTTTGGTCATAAACTTGACGTTGTTGGCTGCTTTTATGTCTAGAATTAACAGATTTATAGCTGCATAGCAGAGATATTATTTATGATTATCGATTTCATGACGTTGCACCATTTACTTGTGAAATCGTCACGTAGGTCCAACACGACTAATTTCAGCTACGTGAGCCAACAATTATGAACAATGTAAATCCGGTGTGTTTGACAACGTTTCATCACTTTAAATACCTATTAAGTTTATGTTTATGTTTAAAAAAATCCCAGGAAAGTGCTTAAAAATGAGAAAAAATAGAAGGGATCACTAAAATAAAGGTGCAATCGCGTGACAATTGATCCAGCGTCACATCTCAACAAAAGACTCACTGAGATCTAATTTTCAAGCTCTGTCAGGCAAAGGTGATTAGGTCTTATCAAGCAGTTTACGTTAATGACTTAGGTTCAAAGACAAAAAACGTTTCAATTAAAACTTTTTTAACAAATGAAAGTGTAGAATTATATATATTTTTATTTTGCGAAAGTGTTATAAGTAATTGTTGTAAATATAAGCTTCTAGAAATCCCCAGACTGCTGAGTCATGCTGACTTAAACACCGTAGGACTTTCCAGAACATTTTACCTAGTCACGCATTAATGATGTAATACTACTAAAATAGTTCTTATGTGAGCTTCTGGAATGTTCCAGAACACCATAAAGACTCACCTATGTAATAGTAGGAGAAGTTGTTGTTGTCGGAGCAACGACTGTTTTGAAACCTATACTAAGAGAGAGTTACTGCAGAAAACTGCTCACTTCAAGGAACTTTGAAACTAAGATTGTGTCTGTAGTGAGCTGGGATATGCGGTGGGCTAATTTAGTTTATTAACGATAAGTATTATAATACTTTTAGGTGTCACTCCTTGTTAACCACATTACTCGCTGTTTAATAAAGTAGTTGAGTTTGTGGGATTGTAGTGTTTTTCTGTCGGTTAGATTATACCGTAACAAAAGAAACATATTTTGAAATAAAATAATCAAAGCCCGGGTGTTCTTCTCAAAATAGAGGGTGCCGTCCGACACAGAATAGGTTCAGGACTTCAGGAATTCAAGCCTTACAACCAAGAACCAATAAAAGCAACCCCTCTCGAAATACCTCAAGATTCCCAGAATCGAATTTAATATGCTTATGCTTATGCCTATTGTCTTTAGCTTGTGACATTTACTTGCAGTAGCGAAAAAAATACGGATCTGTAATGTTAGAGCCGAAGAGTTCTTGTTAGGGCGGAATTAATTAAGAAACATAGGCTTCGCAAGTTATTGTTCGTGCTAATGTTTCATTATATCAGGTTTTAAAACCTAGCTTAAGAATGCTACTTCCTGTAATTGTTATTTGCGCCCGAATTTCTTACAAAGACTATTACATTCTAAAATTTTAGCAAGCATGTCATATGTATATATACATATTTATATATTTTTTTTCCTGCCGTTGAAACATTATGATTTCAAGAACACACCCATTTATAGGCATTTCGCCTCTCGAAGATTCAACGTCAAAGCTCTCATCGAGGGAAACCGTTTAACAACATAAAAACCTTACATCTGTGTAGGTTTTGCCTTTTGTCACTACCTACCACTCAGCTGCAAAAAAACTAGAAAAGTTCTCGTGAAACTTCGGCATCGTATCTGAGTTACGCAAACCTTGTTCAAATATTTTTAGAGGCAGGAACAGATTGCCGCTCGTGGGAAGGTCAAATCGCTTAAAATCTTTCTTTTTAAAGTGAAAAAATATATATTTACCATCAAGGACGACACAAAAGGGAGTTACCCAACACGAAGTTTGTGACAATATTTAGGAACATTACTGATAAACAATTTCCGAAGATCCTTTTAACTCTCGTGAGAACTTACAAACTTATATTGGGCTTCGAAAACCTCTGGAAAGAGCTTTTGTGGCTAATATTTTTATTACGGCCTGTAAGGCCAGATGATGCATTCAAAGGTTAAATTCGCGACAAACGTTGGAAAAAATTCAAATGCTGGTGTTTCCATGATGGGCACTGTTTAGTTTGACAGGCCTATTTTTATTACTGTTTGGGCTCAAGACAAAGGCTCGTTCGCCCGAAACGCTCCATTTTTGTGTACATCTACGACTGTCAATTTTCAAAAACTCTGAGAAGGATAGTGGTTCCCGTTGACCAATGTTTTCAAAGGCAAAACGGATTCAGTTAGAGTAAAGATTACTCTTGCATTGGCAGGTAGTTGGGGTTTTTAGAAAATCGCTCTTTGAATTTTTTTGCATTTTCATGTGCTAAGGGACAGGCCTTCTACTTTTCAAAATATCCCATATGACTTATGCAAATTGAAGATAAATCTTTAATCCTCCAAAACCCGCGTGTAGTAGTTGAACTTTTGCCATCTGAAAGTCAGACAAGCGGGTTCTTTGAAGCCCGGTAGGCCAATTTTGGCCCATAAGCTCTCTAATTTTGAGCGAGATCACTCTCAAATTTGCTGCCTCACCAGTTTTGAATAGTTTTTGATGTCGACAAAATCAGACCGATGACATATTCAACCATAGTGGAGCCAAATAAACGTTAAGCTAAAAAAAAATCAAACTAGCATCTTTGAAACACCGTATCTGCCATGTTTATCATAGAAGAGTTGAGGAGATTACTCTTTCGATTTTTAGATTTCCAACTAGGAACGCTACCAAATTCATTGAAGCAAAAAGAAAACGTTTCCCTCACTTTTTCGGCGGTGAAATTTAACATGTTTGACCTACAACATCATGAGTGTGTTCATTCTGAAACTTGTCTCGACGAAGGTTTTTCTCAACATATACCCGCCCATGTGAGCAAGGAGAGCTATTATTGGATGATAAACCATTTTGAAAGCCTAATTTGGCGACAGAATTTTTTGCTGACGTGTGGCCCTCGTACAAGATGATGGGACGGTGAGGGGGAGGGGTAGAATCAATTTTTCCTCTCTCTTCCATTATGCGCTGGTATTCTTGGGAACTAATTTTTCCCTCAAACGCACGAGAAGGATTGTTCTTGAATTAATCTTTATTTTCTAAAAACGCAAACCAATCGGTAAAATTTTTTTTACAGTCATAGATATCAGAATTAACTTATGAAAAGTGGGCAAATCAGTGTTGATTTTTGCTTTTTACTGATGCCGGTAACACAGTGTTTAAAGGTATTTACTTAAATTCTGCTAAATTCTGACCTAAAAGCCTCCACGCGCATCGAAAACTTCACAAATTATTCAACTGCACCTGATAAAAAGTGCAGATGGAGTTTAGTTGTTGTTATCTACCCAGCGAACGCCTACTATTCTGATCAAATGAATAAAGGGGGTAGGTTTCTACAGAAACTGTGGTGCTGCGTCGGTGGGAGAGTATAGCAGGTAATTTAGTGTTAACAACTGAGTTCAAAACGTAAATTGGCCACCGTAAAGGGTAAAAAAAGTTGACGTTTCGACCTGTTACCTGCTTTTCTGATAAAAATCTATTTGGAGAAAAAGGCTTTAGGAAATATGTGTTTAATCTGTCGTGAAAAAAAATGTATATATATATCTGGACGCTCAAAGAGAGCAACACCAATTTCACAATAAACTGGAGTATTTTAGCGACCGCCCCGGCCTACAGCAACAAAAGCAAGCGGTGCCACTTGTGCCTCACAGAAAAACTTTATTTAGTTAGAGCTAAGAAGCCGTCTTTATTAAACAAAAGAACAGAACTCATTTCTAAATGCCGCCACGAGAATAAGTTTTACTTAGCAAATTTCACAAGCCGCCAACAATAGCTCTATAGAATCTTTATTTCACACGTAGATCAGATCATTACACTAGTGAATTAATTAGCTACTTATCTAAATTGTATATAAGGAGGTAGGTTCTTCATTGAATAAAGTTCTGTCTGACGAGCGCTTAGGCGCGAAACTCAGAGTAACAGAGACTCGATGCGTCCTCTTTGATTCTTTCACTTATATATACTCAGCTCTGCTACCACAGCATTGAGCACTTTATGCCAAGGTAGACTCTACCCCCACATTTATATATATATATATATATATGTATATATATATATATATATATATATTCTAATTACGACTCTCTAAACTTTCCTCCAACCCTTTAAGCAATGTTGAAACCAACTGCAGCGGCTTGGATTTTAATCAAGATTGCTAACGGAGAAAGGCGTAATCTTGCCTACATGGTTACAAATATGATCATTTTCAGCTGTTATGTCGTTGGTGTCCTGAAAATTTTTTTCGAGGATTGAAGCTACCAGATCCTTCGAATGAACCTTCACCGGAATGTCAGTGAAATGATAAAGTACAGCACTTTTCATCTCTTTTCTTTCTCTTTTGGTTAAATATATACATAAACTAGCACTTGGTAATTCCTGGTCAGAAAAGAAACTCTTGCAACCCTCTG